TAAAGATCTACTATTATGTTATTGTGCTTTAAATGCTCTTAAAAGCAATCCTATTTGGTTAACCTACCAAATCAATACTTGCTTAATTTGATTTGCTTAATTGTGCTTTCACATTTAAAAATTGCTTTTTAAGTTAATTTTTAGTATAATTTAATTTAATAAAATATGTCCAGTAGTCTAGAAAAAGAGTTGGCAACCAAGCGTACGTGCTCCATCTGGCCTATGACCTGTTTTTATATTGCCCTTGAGCTAAGAGTGTATTTTATGCCTGTAATCAGGTCTAACGCACACACACACACACACACACACACACATATACACACACACACTGCAACAATGATTATACAAGGACATAAAACTTAAACAATTTACTATCTGGTTCTTTACTGAAAAACAAAAAAAAAAACAAACAAAAAACCCCATACAACCCAAAACTGTGACCCTTATTCTTGAGTCAAATCTTCGAAACAAGATCTTTTAAAAAATATTTGTTTATGTATATGTGTGTGTGAAGGGGGCATGTCACAAATGTGCAGGTACCTGAGGAGGCCAGGAGAGAGTGCTGGATTCCCTGGAGCTGGAGTTACAGGAGGTTGTGAGCTGCCCTCTGTGGGTGCTGGGAACAGAACTTGGGTCCCCTGGGAGAGCAGCAAGTGCTCTTAACTGCTGAACCATCTCTCCAGCCCCCAAACAGAATCTATTTAGAGAAATAATCAAATACAATAGCAACCCTATCTCCCCTGTTTTATTCCCCCTCTTTCTCTACAAGTAATGTTTATTTATTTATTTTAACTTTCTATTGTTTATTGATTGACTTAATTTTGGAGACGGAATCTCAGATATCACAGGCTAGCCTTGGACTTGATATAGGACAACCTTGGACTTCTGATCCTCTTGTCTGCTCCTCAGTGATGTATCTAGTTCTTCATTTCCACAGAAGTGCCGCTGTCTGTGGCAGTGGTGTACATCCTGGAATTTCTGGGTGCAGCTTTGCTGCCGGGTTCTTAGATGTGCGCAGCAGGCTGAGTGGCCGAGCACTGGCGCATCTGTAGTTTTGCTCAGAGTTGCTCAGTTCCCCCTGTTTGTTTACTTTGCATTTCTGCTGGCAGCCTACAGGTGCCCACACCCCAGCAGCCACTCAGCAGAGGTGCTGTCAAACTTTGGGAGTTTGTTCATTTAATAGGCAAGAAATGGCATTAAGTTAACTTAAACTGCTGTTGCTATGAGCAGGGTGGGGAGGCCATTCCCTTGCCATGAGCTGTTTTCTTACCCACCTTTCTCAGCACTGTGGTCTTTATTGTCTGCTTGCAGAGCTATGTAATGTTGCAGATGGTAACCTTTGTGTCGGATGTAAGTCACAGGGTCTCCTCCATTTGGCCTTTCTCCTTACTTGTCTATTATTTAGTTTTTTTGCATGCTTTCTCCCATGCAAGTGTGCTTTGCTTGGGTTGCTGTTTCCATTTGGTCCATTTCACTCCTCTTTTCTCTCAATGCTCCTGACTTTGGAGCCAGAGCTGGAAAGTTCCTGCAGGTCCCACATTGTAGAAAAATCCAACCACATTGTCTTCTCATAGCTCTGTGGTTGCCTTTCTTTTTTAAAAATATTTTATTTCTTATTTTTATGTGTATGAGTGTGTTGCCTGCATGTATGTGAGTACACCCGTGTCGTGCAATGCCACGGAGGTCAGAAAAGGGCTTTGGATTCCCCTGGAACTGGAGTTGAGGACGGTTCGTAGCTGCCATGTGGGCATTGGGAATCGAGCCCAGGTCCTCTGCAAGAGCAGTCAGTGCTCTTAACCACTGAGCCATCTCTCCAGCCCCAAGAAACCACACTTTTAACTAGTATGCTATGCTGCCTCTCCTGAGTTTAAAAATAGTTGATGTTAAGGGACCGATGGCATAAAACCTTGAGTTGAAGTTCTAAATTGTTTAGGAAGTGACTGGAATGCCAAGCTAATTCTAAAATTAAGTGATGAATGGATTTGGTGAACAAATGAACAAATAAATAATGGGAAAAGGCAGAACATTCTAAGCGGTGTTGAAAATTGGGCGTTGTCAGAGTTTCCCAAGCAGTAGTAGGGACGCTGAACAAGGCAGGAAGCTCTTGGCAAGGGCTGTCTTATGTTAGCTCTCCTGCTGGGGCCGGTTTTGCTTCAGGCAGAGGCAGAGCTATAAGTCAGGGTTAATTTAATAGATTCTGCTCAGGTGAATGAGAAGCGAGGGCACTTAGCCAGGTAGGCCATTAGAGATTGGCCCGGCTTGGTTAGAGGCCCAGGCAAGAGGCTAATTTTACTAACATTGTTTCTCCACTATGACAGCTTCTGCTTCTTGTTTCCTGGCCATTCACTTTTATGGTGCCCTTGGATTGGGCAGTTTCCACCGTTCTGAGAAAATGTACCGAACACCACCATTCATTCTGGGAAAGTTTGTCAAGGAGGCGCAGGGCACAGGTGGTTTTGCTGGAGGCAATTGTTTCCTGGCCATTCACTTTTATGGTGCCCTTGGATTGGGCAGTTTCCAGCATTCTAAGAAAATGTACCGAACACCACCGTTCATTCTGGGAAAGTTTGTCAAGGAGGCGCAGGGCACAGGTTGTTTTGCTGGAGGCCACTGATGGCCTCTGGGCCTATTGTCTTTCTGGGAGGAGCCACTTCTGGGCTGTTGTCCTGACGCAGTAACTGCAAGGAGGGGCCTTAAGTGCCTTCATCCTTCCCTGGCTCAGCCCCTGCCATACCTATGGAGGCTACACAGTATATGATGTTGAGACTACATCCAAGCCCCTGGTCTAGCCAGGGAGCCGGGAGCTAGGCACACTCGTGGTGCCTGCTGACTGCTGTTCTCTGTGGGCTGGAAGACATGTGCCCATCAGGAAGAAGTGCCCCAGTGTACACATCATGTCCAGGGCTATGTCCAGGGGTGAGCGTTAGGCCAGACTTAACTCCTTGCACTGCATTTGGTTCCTAGCTCACTGGGTGCACTGGGTGCCCTGTTCCTGAGCATTGGGTGCCCTGTTCTGAGCACTGGGTGCCCTGTTCCGAGCACTGGGTGCCCTGTTCCGAGCACTGGGTGCCCTGTTCCTGAGCACTGGGTGCCCTGTTCTGAGCATTGGGTGTCCTGTTCCTGAGCACTGGGTGCCCTGTTCTGAGCACTGGGTGCCGTGTTCTGAGCACTGGGTGCCCTGTTCTGAGCACTGGGTGTCCTGTCCTGAGCACTGGGTGCCCTGTC